TATCAACACTCATAATTTAATCAGTTCTCACTTTTAGGTCATTTTCAGTTTTTTATTATAACAATATTAAAGAGGGCATAGACTCAAACAGAACAAAGATATAGCAGTACATTGATAATGTAATTAAGACAACCCCCCTCCCAAGCATTGGCTGTATCTTTTAAAAACATCTTCCATTTATTTATTTATTTATTTAAATATTAATGTACTTGGGCTTAAACTCAGAGCCCTGGGCTTGCTAGATTCTCTTTAACTAAAATAAAGATTCTCTTTATTTTAGTTACATCCATTAAATAAAAAACTCAAAACTCTAAAACTGTATGTACATATCAAAGTCCTAAAAAGTAATATTGAACACTTATATAAGGAAATTTGAGAAGTTACATATTATTATGTTTATTATGGGTACTTTTTTATCTTTTTAAATTTATTATTGTTATATCTCTTTTTTTGCCAGTCTTGGGGCTTGAACTCTGGACCTGGGTACTAACCCTGAGCTCTTTTTTGCTCAAGGTGAGTGCTCTACCACTTGAGCCACAGTGCCACTTCTGGCTTTTCTGTGATGAATTGGAAATAAGAGTCTCAGATTTTCCTGCCCAGGCTCACTTTGAACCTTGATCCTTAGGTCTCAGCCTCCTGTGTAGCTAGGATTACAGGTGTGAGCTACTGGTGCCCAGCTAATATATCTTTATATATACTTAATTTCCTCAAGCCAGCACCAGTGGTTTGCATCTATAATCCTAGCTTCTTAGAAGGCTAAGATCTGAGGATCAGTGCAAAGGCAACTCAGGCAATCAAATTTGAGAGGCGCTTATTTCTAATTAACCAGATAAAAAATGCTGGAAGTTGAAGTGTGGCTCAAATGGTAGAGCCTCCAGTCTTGGGTGCAAAAGCTAAGCAAGAGCTCAAGGCTTTCAGTTCAAGCACTACTACTAAGGAATGAATCAACAAACACACATGAACACACACACACACACACCACACACACAAACTTTCATTTTACTTTTTTTTTGAGATACGGTCACTATATAGCTCAACTTACTGTTTACCCTAGGGTTGACCTTGAACTCTAAATTTTCTTATTTTAGCCTCTACAGTCCTGGGATTTATGGACATATTCTACTACAGTCAGTTCTTAGTATATTTGAAAATGCAGTTTTTCATGATGAAGCCTTTAACAACATTTTCCTGCTAACAGTGAGTCTCAATATTGTTGCCCTTCTAATCCTACTTTTTTTGTCAATCCTAGGGCTTGAACTCAGGAGCCTGGGCACTGTCCCTGAGCTTATTTTGTTCAAGGCTAACATTCTACCACTTGAACCACAGCGCCACTTCTGGTTTTTTCTGTTCATGTGGTACTGAGGAATTGAACCCAGGGCTTTATGCATGCTATGCAAGCATTCTACCACTAAGCCACATTCCCAGCCCCTCCTAATACTTCTAACAATATACTTTTGTTGAAATCTCTTCTAAAGTAAAAACCTGAAAAAATGACATCTTAAAAACCTTCTAAGATTGAGTGCCAGTAGCTCACGCCTGTACTCCTAGCTACTCAGAAGACTATGATCTGGAGGATCATGGTTTGAAGTCAGCCCAATCAGAAAACATCTATGAAACCTCATCTCCAAAATAAACAACAAAATCCAGGGCTGGTGGTATGTCTCAAGTGGTAGCATGCCAGCCCAAAGCAAATCTGAACAGAGTTCAAACCCCAATTATTGCCAAGAAAAAAAAAATCTAGAGAAAAAAAAACTTCAAAAATACAATCTCAATTTATTATGGCAAGTTAGCTCAGGTGAACTTAATGAAAAACAAAATTTCACACACACACTAGAAACCACACATTTAGTAGACAGAGGAAGTAGACACCATTTAGTAGACAGAGGAAGTTAAAAATATCATTTCGTCAACATAGACTAAGTTCTTCTTACTTATACTAAGAAAAATAGCCCAATGTGGTGGCTAATGCCATAATACCAGCATTAGGGAGGCCGAGTCAGAAGAATCTTGAGCCTGAGGGACAACTGGGGCTACATAGTAAAACTTTGTCTCAAAAGAAAAAAAACAGCTTGGCTGGGGATGTAGCTCAGTGCTAGGGCATTTAAGTAGGTAAGGCGGGGTCCCAGGTTCTTCTATTCCCAGCATTGCAAAAAGCATCATTTGAAAATGGTTCCCTTTTGTCTAAAATCGAAAAGATGATCTTGCCAGTGAATAATGACTGCTGAAGCCAGATACCAGTGGCTCACACCTATAATCCTAGCTATTTAGGAGGCTGAGATCTGAGGATCACAGTTCAAAGCCAACCCAGGCAGGAAAGTCCAGGAGATTCTTATCTCCAGTAAACCACCAGAAAACCAGAGGTGGTGCTGTGGCTGAAGTGGTACAGTGCTGGGGTTGGGAAGGTGGCTCAGTGGTAGAGCGCTTGCCTTGTATGCTGGAGGCCCTGGGTTCGATTCCTCAGCACCACATAAGCAAAAAGAAAAAAGCCGGAAGTGGCGCTGTGACTAAAGTGGTAGCGTGCTAGCCTTGAGCTGAAGAGCTGAGGGACAGCGCCCAGGCCCAGAGTTCAGGCCCCATGACCGGACCCAAAAAAAAAACAAAGGAGGAGGCTACAATGCTTGATAAGAAATGTACTCATTATCTTGCCCATGTAATTGTAACCCCTCTGTACAGTATTTTCACAATAAAAAATAAATTTAAAAAAAAAGAAAAAGAAAATGGAAACCTGTTAGAGATGCTTTTTGGGGAAAGGAGAGGAGCAGGAAGTGTGATAGATTAAGATCAGTTGGAAAACAGTGTAAACATGAGGAAAAGAGATGTAACCATGAGATCCTCCCCTTTATAACTAAAAGCTTTAAAAACATGGAGAGGAAACAATGAGATGGCCAGGCAAGCACTTCAGATGAGGTCAAGGCAAAAGCAAGGGCCTAGAAAGAAGGTAGGACTTAAGATTCAGGTAGGTACTGAGGCTTGAATTTAGGACCTTGCTTGGCTTTTTCTGCTCATTACTGGTGCCCTACCACTTGAGGCACACCTTCACTTCCAGCTTTTTGGTTAATTGGAGTTAAGAGTCTCAAGAATTTGTCTACCTGGGCAGAAACGGTGATCCTCAGATCTCAGCTTCCTGTGTTCACTAAGATTATAACTGTGATCCACCAGCATCCAGTTTAGATATTTCTTTTTTGAATCAATATATCATCCAACAGGCTTTAGTTGTGGATTTATATAGGAAGCAGTTAGATAATAGTGACTCATTTAGGGCTCAAACAGATACAGGGATTGTGTTCAATGCCAAACTGTCATTATACTGAAGGGTTTGAGAGGATGATGTGGTCATTGAATTTTAAAAAAGAATGGAAGTCAACCTGACAGTCATGTGATGGATGGTTCTAGGGAGAAAAGAATCCAAGCTAAAGGAAAAGGGAGAGAAGAAGCACAGCCAGAGCATGAGGAGACAATTTAGAAGACAATTTCGAAGTAAATAAAAAAGAGTACACCAAGGAATATGGAGAGTCAATAGTAAATAGAAGTGACAAGAGAATAGAGGTAAGAATCATTCATCACCAGAACCACCACCCTGGATACATGGACAATACTGAATAAATGTTTGTTCAATTGAAATAATTAACTAAAGTATTTCAAACCAACATAATCAAAACAATGAAAAAGAAGAGGAGGGAAGTGGCTTAAGGAGAAAGGTTCATAATAAATAAACAAAACTGCATTGTCCATCTTCACTATTATAAGCATCTGTCTTTTTTTTTTTTGTCGTGGGGCTTGAACTCTGGGCTTGGGCGCTGTCCTTGTGCTCTTCAGCTCAAGGCAAGCGCTCTAGCACTTGAGCCACAGCACCACTTCCAGTTTTCTAGCTGTTTATTGGAGTTAAGAGTCTCATGAACTTTCCTGCCCGGGCTGGCTTTGAACCACGATCCTCAGATCTCAGCCTCCTGAGCAGCTAGGATTACAGGCTTGAGCCACCGGCGCCCGGCTGTAAGCATCTGTCTTATTTCCACAAGCAGAAATGCTGGATCTTGAGACATATGCATTTTATACATGTCATATTCCAATTTAATTCAGCACAAGGAAAATAATTGGTTAAATACAGGCTTTGCTACTACGTAAATACATTGAAGAGAACTAAATGTAAACCAAAGATTAAATCTTCAAATGCCCTCGATCTCAACATGCTTTTTTTTCCCCTGAAGTACTGAGGCTCTTGTGCTTATGAGGCAGGGACTTTACCACTTGAGCCATTCGTCAGTTGTTTGTGCATTTTTTTTAAATAATAAACTATGTTGGCCCGCACCAATACCCTATTTATCCTTCTCACAGTTGTGATGATAGGCACAAATCGCCATGCTTAGCTTTTTTGTTGGCTGAGATAGGGGTCTCACACACTTTTGAGGGGGGTGGCCTGGGATCACTTCAAACAGTAGTCTTCTTGTTTTTGTTTTGTTTTTTGGGTCCGGTCGTGGGGCCTGAACACTGGGCCTGGGCGCTGTCCCTCAGCTCTTCAGCTCAAGGCGAGCGCTCTACCACTTGAGCCACAGTGCCACTTCCGGCTTTTTTCTTTTATGGTGCTGAGGAATCGAACCCAGGGCCTCAAGCTTGCAAGGCAAGCGCTCTACCACTGAGCCACCTTCCCAGCGCAGTCTGAGACTCTTATTTCCAATAAAAATACTCAGAAAGACCAGCAGTGGTGCTGTGGCTCAGGTGGTAGAGCACTAGTCTTGAGCACAAAGTGGCTCAGGGGCAGTGCCCACATCCTGAGTTCAAGTGCCAGGATGAGCAAAAGAAAATTGAAATATCAGAAGTATATTCAAACTAGTAAAATGGTCACTTGTGGGACTTGAGTACACAGGGTTATCGTCTTCAATGGTATACTTTGTTAGAGGTTTCAGTTTTTGAAGTTGGTTAACCTCTGAGGAACTCAGAGTTTTAACTGAACACAATGTTCAAATTCTGATGAAACTTGGGTCTCCATTTTCTTTGACGTTTTAACGTAATTTATTTTCTTTACAATGTGTTATCACATACATACACGTGCATGCACTTGCACGTGCACACTCACACACAGAGGATTTAATAAATGGGTAGAGAAACAAGAGGGAGACCCTCCCAGAGGTTTTTAACAAAGTTAAAGTAGATTACATTTATGTGCTTTTCAGTTATTATACAATATACAGACATGATCCACTGAATGATTTATGCTCCCCCAAATGGTTAAACAATGACTATGAAAGACTAGACATAAAAGCTTCTAGAAGCAGAATTGCTGCTTGCAGAAAACAACTTCAGGCATCCATTTGTGTTTACATTTATTCCTTGAGAATGCTACAGTAGCAGGGTTTAAGTTCATTCTGTAAAAAGATCTGAAAGTTGATTTACAAGAGACTCAATGCATTGTGCTTTCAGATAAAAATCCTAAGTCAAAAGAGCAGTTGCTATGACAAAACAGTTAAAACTGCGCATATATATATATATGTATGTATATATATATATATATATATTATATATTTGTATGTTAGAGATTGGAAGAAGCTATAAAGAAATGTAAATAGTTGTGCTTAAGGGACTTTTTTGGTAAAGTTGTTTTAATAAATAAAACCTTAAAAAATGTATCAGTGACTGATATAAAATAGACACAGGTATCAAGGGGTTTCCAAACTTGGCTTAGAGTTTAAGGTGAAAAATTATCTCCACACAAACCACCTGGCATCTGATCCTCCAAATCTGGGCATGTCACTTAAGAGGCAGGCAGACAAAGAGCTTGAAAGAAAAGTTAGTGATTTCCCCCCATTAACGTAAAGCATTAACCAGAGGTAAAGCCAGGCGAAGCCAACAATTTAACAAATGCCTGCCTTCCTTTAGAACTCTTAGACCAAACAGAGCCATCAGCCTACTTTTGTAAGATATATATATATATATAAATATATATTTATATATATGCTTTGTGTCTGGACTACAACCCTATTTGGTAGTTCACAAGATGAATTAAACATGTCCTGTTTTTTGCGAGACCCTACAATAATCATGATCCCTTAATACCTTATACTTGTGTTTAATTCTCCACACAGTGCCTGTAAAACTCTTATTCTTACAAACACTCTAACAACTGTTTGTAACCATAGAGGGCAAGGTATAAATTTACATAGTAGCATTGATCATAGCTAGCAAATAAATACAATTTTATTTTTAAGCTAGTCAGTTTGTTCATTTAGGCCTTTAATGTTGAAGGACATATGGACCTTATCAATTAAAGTGAATTTAGAAGAGAAGATGAGAAAATAACAAATGTTTTCATTAAAGTCTTTGCACAATAGATACAGAACTTAAGACTCTCTTCAAATAATTTCTCTATCATTTAGAATCATCTTTACTGTCTGTAACATAAAGTGCTGGAATCCTGCAAATAAAATTACTGAGTAATTATATATATATATATATATATATATATATATATTACACATTTTCAATTATTTGAAATCATTCAACAGTTTGTAGTGTTAATGGAGTGAAATAGGGATAAAAGGCAGTCCACATTCAATATATTTTCAATATAAATTTACTCCGGAAGTCAGTTTAAATCTTCTCTCATGTCCGTAGTATAGCCATTGTGATAAGACCTGATTGAAGAATAAAAAGGCAATAGTTAAAGACATGGCATTTTACAAAATCTTTCCTTCTACAAGAAATTATTTGGACCTCAACAAGCAAATGAAATATAGCACCATAGGCAGGCACTCGATGAAGAACTCAAGTCAGTTTGAATTTAGTTGATATTATACAGAAGAAATTTACAGCAATAGGCACTCACTGGATAGATTTAATTAAATCACTAATGTCTAGTCATAGCTAATTTCACCATCCAATAACTCCTACTTTATCCAGCCATATTGGCTATAACAATAGCAAACATACCATTTTCAAGGGATGGTAAATCAGCTGACTCCAGGAACAGAAATATTAAGAACCTGATACATTAGGACTTTAGGGGTACAAAGACACACTGGTTTGCTTGAGAGATTCCACATAGGAAGCCACAAACATGACAGGCAGGTTGGCACAGAGGAAGTGAGGCCAAAGGATGGAGAGTTAGAGGCCAGCCTGGCTACATAAGACAGACCCTGTCTGAAAAAAATCCATAAGCAGTTGTGGACATGCTCAATCCTAAATGAATGGTAAGTAAGGAACTAAGTGACATTTGTGTTTTTCCCAGTCCTAGGGCTTGAACTCAAGGCCTGGGTGCTGCTATTCCTAAGTATTTATTTACTCAAGGCTACTACTCTGCCACTTAAACTACAGCTCCATTTCCGGCTTTTTGATGATTAATTGAAGATGAGTGTTTCTAGGCTCTCTTGCTCAGGTTAGCTTTAAACTTCAATCCTCAGATCTCAGCCTCCTCACTAGCTAGGATTAGAGGTGTGAGCAACAGGTACCTAGAACATTTTTTAATTACAAGGCTAGAATGAAGTGCAGTAGTAGAGCACTTGCCTAGCATGCATGAAGCCCTAGGTCCCATCCCAGCACCAGACAAAAAAAAATAACAGGGAGTTGTTGGGAAGGTGGCTCAGTGGTAGAGTGCTTTCCTAGCATGCATGAGACCCTGGGTGCCGTTCCTCAGCACCACATAAGCAGAAAAAGCCAGAAGTGGCACTGTGGCTCCAGTGGTAGAGTACTAGCCTTGAGCTGAAGAGCTGAGGGACAGCAACCAGGCCCACAGTTCAGGCTCCACAACTGACAAAAAAAAAAGTACAGGGAAGGGAAATTATCAGGAGGACGGGGCTGTAAGAAAGAGTGTTCTCAAAGATAAAAGCTGAAGCCAAGCGCCAATGGCTCATGCCTATAATACTAGCCACTGAGGAGACTGAGACCTGAGAATCGTGGCTCAAAGCCAGCCCATACAGGAAAGCCCATGAGACTCTTATCTCCAATAAACCACAAACAGAAAACCAGAAGTGGAGCTATGACTCAAAGTGGTGGAGCACTAACCAGCCTTGAGCGAAAGAGCTCAGGGCCAGTGCCTAGGCCCTGAGTTCAAGCCCCACGTGAGTTCAAGCCCCATAACCAAAACACACACACACAGACAGATAAAAGCTGAGATAAGCCTTAAAAGACAGAACATGGGGTGGGAGAGGGAGATTGTCCTGTAGGTAGAAACTAGTGGAGTGGTAGGGAGGGTGAAGGAGATTGAAATAGATTTGCAATTCACTGTATTTGATGTCGGTATAATTTGGAGGGGAAGGGGAAAAACAGTCGTTTAAATAGGGATACAGGTGGACCTATTGCAACAATGAGATGTACAAGTCATTATATCAAAAACGAACTTTACAACTTGGGTGGGGGGGGCAAGGGGAGGATGGGAAGGGATGGGAAGGGGAAACAAAGGAGGAGGCTACAATGCTTGATAAGAAATGTACTCATTATCTTGCCCATGTAATT